GGCGATACTGAGTCGCACGACAGCTATCATGGCTCCAGACGTTGATGTAGATTTGAGTTCAGACACATTAGAGTTGAGTTCGAGTTGGAGTTGGAGAACGTTGGGCCGCGGCAGACGCTCGAGGAGCGTTGGATGGAGTCGACACCTTCCAGGAATATATTCGAGGCGAGCTCGAAGAACTGTCAGTTCTTCAAGTTGAGACTTTCGCGTCTGGATTTTTCCCCTTAGCTTCGACTCTGATTCTACCTGCGAGTAGTGAGTTTGGCTCGACTCTCTGTGTATTTGTGTGATACCTTTGTGTGTGGACATTCTCGTTCCTTGTGTATGTATGTGTGAGTTGTGAGTAGAGCATGTCAGCGATGTATGATGTATGACGATACTGAGTCGCACGACTATGATCAATGGCAGTCGATCAACGACGTGGCTACCATTCTGCGTGTGCCGTGTCAAGTCATGCAAATTCTTGTCGCAAATTGACGTTGGACCTGCTACTTCTATTCATTGCTCATATTGTGAAGCATTGCAAAACAAATGAGTTACAGCGGTTGACAATCAATTGGAAAATTACACTAACCGTAATGCGGAAAAATATTGATTAATATAAAAAATTGTTGGGGCTAGAAATCGCCATAGTTGCATACTACCTCAACTCGCAGTTGTCAGAACCATCTGATATCTGAACCGATGAGATTGAAGACGTTGTCAATCAGTTGGAGATTGAACAAGACGATTGGTACAATGAAGTCCTCCATGACTTCGTCGCTTGGTACAATGAAGTCCTCCATGACGTCGTCGCTGAACAATCCAATTGAAGAATTGGTCTTTGAAGCCAACTTGAATTGAAGGATTTTCAAATAAACATTGTGAAAATTGTGTTGGAAATTTGATTTTTTTATTCTTCTTGGTATAAATACGGGGTTACCGGTTAAAGTAAAGGTAAATGAATGTGTAAAGCATGCCCATTGTGGTAAGGGTAGGGGTAAAGTAAAGGTAGAGTACATTTTATCAACCTTTAAACATTTACCTCAACTTGTCTAAGCCTATTCATACTTGATTCTCCGTTTTCATACTTTTTGAGGCTTTTGGAGCCGGACAAGTAATAGCACATTGAATGTTTGTAGGAGAATTCTAAGTGTGTGGGAGAACACATTTGTTCTTCTCAAAGAGTCAAGCAAGAGCCTAGATAGCCAACGAAAGACGTAACGAAGTCCCAGTCTTGAACAAATGACGTAGAAGAGAAGAGACGCGGAAAAGGATGCTCGTGCTTGGATTGGGTTCACTTCCAGTGAAGACTGGCAACGAAGGGTCTCGAATGCACATGAACCAAGGCTAGAATTGGCAAAAGAGGAGCTACTCGTTCGTAGCCTTACGGCGCACTAGATGAAGATGGCGACATAGCGCTCGAGGAAATCCCGCCTCCAGTCTTCGAACAGACCCCAACAGAACTGAAAACCGTGCACTCTGCACGAGCCATGCGGACTCAACATTCCAACTGACTGCTCGAAGCATGCAACTCGAGTTTCCTGTGAGCTGCACGCATCACCGTCGGCACTATCTACATCTCCAACCCATTGAATACCGGCAGGTGACAAGATCAAATGACGGTATGCTCCCTCACTTCCTTCTTCCCTCTCCATGATATGGAGGCCTGTGCCTGCTGGCCTCGATCTGGATCTCGGGGCAAGTATGTGAGGGTGCGTCTTTTTGCCCTTTTGTCTACGTTCCAGTTGCAAGCCCTGGATGACATTGATGTCGCTGTGGAGAGCTGAGTGGGAAGAGCTTCCCGTTGAGCGAACGGGCCAGCTTTTGGTTCCAATCCAGTTGGGTCGGTCTTTACAGCGAGAGAGAGATCAAGCGTTCCTGATAATAGAACGAGGTACGCATTTGCGGACATTATTGCATCTACTAGGGGAGGGTGGATCCACTAAAATCTGGTAGAGTCATGTGTCATGGAGCTTCTTCACGAGTTCATGTTCATGTCCATGTACGATTGCAAGCAAGGACAATGATGGCGATGGAGTACACGCTCAATCCAGTGGTACCATCGACTCAAAATATGGTCAGAAGGCATTCTATGGTGGAGGTGCGCCCTTGTGTCCTTCAGAATGATAGTATGCGCCGGGAAAGTGCTGTAATCTCAGGGGATTAAAATCTCAGGGCTGCTGCCACTGCAGAAAGAATTAATGGCTACAGAAGTGCGAGCATGAAACAGGAATGAAATCCGGAGTTGTCACTTTCCCACATTTCCTCTATTGTGAGGTGATCCTCAAATCCGCATGAATCATTCACTCCCACACTCAAACTGCAAGATCCAAAGGGACCGAGGTCGAAACTCGAGAGTTCGATGCGCACAGCTTCGACGAACTCTAGCCTGTCCTTGGACTTCATCACTCACCGGCCAAAAGGTGGACAGACCTCTTGGACGTTCGCCTCAGACCGACTTAAACTTGAGTGAGCAACTGTCGCTATGCCGCAGTCTCAGTGGCAGATGTGGTTCGATTATTGGTCTGCGAATCAATGAAAGCTAAAGTCTGTGGCCGGCATTAAAGCTCACACTCTGCCTCTCGCCCAAAGAGGAGCCGGCAGGCGGTCAGTCAGACGTGCACTTACTGCATGCTGCTAGTCCCTTGCGAATGATGAGTTCAAGTGTGGACGAGTATGGAAGGAAAGTGAGAGAGCACGAGACAGAATCCGTCGAAACCTCTACCTTTTCACAGCGTTCAGATTGAAGACCCAACACTACAAACATTTTCTGTTCGAACATAAAGTTACTATTTTATTATATGGACATGGACTTTTGCATCGTGTATCGAAATGCTGCCCTGTTTCCACCAAGGGTACAAGGGACGCTTGGTTGATGGAAAAGGTCAAAGGATAATGAGCGAGGTTACGAAGGAGTAATAGTGATTAAGAGGAAAATAGGACTTCCTCATGGTGCACAGTTTGGAAGTCCCGGGACCAAGCTGGACAGCGATGATCATGTGCTGGATGGAGGGTGGAAGGGGAAGTACAGGATTGTCAATTGGCGTGTTCTTCTCCCCTTGAGAAGGGGCTGTGGGAGAGCGAGAAACGCCTGCACTGTGGAAAATCTCCAGCCCAATTTTGCTGTACAGTGCAGAGGTTGCATACGCACGGCCCGAGAGCAGCAGTGCATCGACAGCAGCCAGGACCCACTGGAAAGAGGAGGCGCACGAACGACAGCTGGTGGCGAAGTTGGAGATTCAAGTGGATGATGACCAGGAGCGCCAAGAGTTTTTCATGGTTAGGAGTAGGAGCAGGAGGAGGAGTCTAGAGGACGTGAGGCGCGCGGGTGGGGTAGGAAACCGGCCTCCTCCCCTGCTGCTGCTGCTGCTGCTCAGATATTTGTGTGCGGTGAATGATGATGGTGATGATGATGAGGGTGGCCAGGGTCGAGGAGCTCAGATTATAGCATTCTGATTTCGATTCAGCATATCTCATAATCGTGCGTGCAAGGATTCTTGAGCTGAGGTGCAGAGCAAGGAAGATAGGCAGCGCAGCGCTGCGCTGTGAATTATGTGCCTGGTGGTGCCCAGAGCCACTGCGGGGCATGTGCATGATCGCCATGACGGCAAGCAGGAGAGGATCACGTCCTGGAATATAGGGAATCCAAAACCCTGTGATTCACTTAGAGCTGCAACAGCAGAGAAGGGAAGCGATGGGAAGGGATGCTCCTCATCCATTATAGCTCACTCGATCTGAGTCCCAATCGTGAATCAAGCTCTCTGTTTGTCTTGTGGGTCGAGCTCGAGCTGGCTCGTCTTGGAGACAGGGGTGCACAAAGACCGAGCCCCACGCTTCTCGGCTAAAATAGTCGATCCATGATTGTCTCTCCCCTTCGGAATCATGACGGCCAGCGTTCAGGTTCCATGAACCGAACTGCTTTCCCAACATTTCAGACTGCTGCTGTCAGCTAATCTAAAACTGTAAACTAATTCAGAGTGGAATCACGGTCACTAACAGCTACGTCTGAGATACGGAATCATACACTTCAATCTAATATCCACACACACAGAGAGCTGGCACGAGTCCAACATCCCTCGCATTGGCGAGATTCGCTGTGATCGGAAGCGTCCACCAAAGGCGGGGAGGGGACATCCTCGATTCAGCGACAACTTGTCGAATAGCGAAAACTATTGTAACGGAATGCAGGGAAGTCTGATACAAATGCATGCAACCTTGTGAGCCCTGGGTGTGGCCCATGGGGACGGGCGACGAGGCGATGGTCGCATGTGACGCCGGTCAGCGCACAATTAAACGCTACCACTGTAGCCTCGTTCAGTTGCTGCACTGCATTCCCGACACATGTAGCTGTCCGTGTCCCGCCCTCGGGATTCAATTCTCGATTCTTCGCCCTCGTCAGTCATTAATGATCCTTATCTGCCGCTGAGTACATGCCTTCTAGCCCTTTCTGTACTGATAGTGGTGAAGGGTTTAATGTGGTGCTCTGATCGAGAAGGGTGGAGTCAGAGAGTCGTGCCTTGAATCTGAGACGCATGGTCAACTTCCGAATTACGGCCTGAGCAGAAGGCTTTGCGCCTGAGACAGTGAAAGGCGTCATTCTCCATTGAGTTGCGATGAATGGCATACGTGTTGAAGAGATCTCACATCAATATGCAGACAAATTGGCGAGGTTCGAGACCGAATCCTTGCCGTCTATACACTGTAGCATTCTGCGTGGCTGGGTTCGGGTGCACATAATGCAGAGTCTCAATTTACACAACTTCTGCGACAGAGTCGCTGACATCGTTCCCCATTTTCACCACGAAGCACGGCGTCATTTCCTCGATGAGAAGTGCTAGCTATTCCCAGTTCATTACTCGACATTGCCCGACTGTCAGACCGTGGCATCGCATGTCTGAGCCGGTCCTTCAAAAAAACACGAATAATGCATTGCGCTCTCAGCATTCTCCATGAATCGAGCGGCCTCGGGACGGGGATTGCGGTGCGACGAGAAAGCTTCCGAGTCGGGTCCACAAATTGCTGCAAAATCTTTGAATGTATAAAAGAATGGCCATCCCGGTTGCGTAAGAGGAGTCAGTGTGTTATTAGCGTTCCGGGAGGACTGGAGCTTACACAAAGGGGCGGAAATTTCTACGAGCACTGACCGAGACGACTTATGGGGGTGTGTACAAGCAGCCGATTCGCGCGTGCAAAGACTGCGGGTCGGTCCTAGAGTCCGCAGGGGCAGCGACAGCCATACCAACTGGGGGCTAGCGGCATCGTGTCCAGACACTTCCGTCATGCGGGCCAAGTCCAGATGACATAGCGAAAGACCAAGAATTAAAATTCGATGCTTTACTTCCTAGATAGTACAAGTAAGGTTTCTCTGGTAGGCCGGTTTATAAAAGTACATGGCCTACCTCGCGGGCGGGGTCCTTCAAGGCTTGCGGAAACGAATGGGAAGAGAGCGAGAAAGCTAATGAGAGCTAATAACTTGTGACCGGGCCACAGCTTAAGCTTCGTAGATACGGTAATTGCCCTGCAGCAGAGTAACTCAATAAACCCTCACTTCCACCGAAGTAGACACCAAAGCATTGCTACCAGTACTCGGAGAAGGGCTCCTTATCGATTTCCTTGATGGCTGTTGCCCTTTTAAATCCTGGAATCTCCAGTTCACATATCACCGTGGCCGACGAGTGTGTTGTGACACAATCCGCTTTGTATGGAGCACTTGAAAGACCCACAAAGCAAAATTACAATGCCAGATGCTGCAAACCGCTGCTGATGCGAGTAGCACAACTTGTCTGGTTCGCAGTCTGACCGCTGATTCTCGAGAGCGGATGCTCTGGTGGGCGGGCGAACTCTCTCTACTGCTTCTTCTCCTCGGTGGGCAGCGGCTTCACGGCGTACGATGTGAGGTCGCTGTGCAGGTAGCCATATCGCGCCAACACCTGATTGTCGGCAAAATTGAACGCCTTCTCCATACCCGCTTGGCAAACGGCTATGGAGGCATTAGTAGCTCCGCCCGTGCACGATTGGCATCCCGCGAAGTGGGTGACGAAGGCTTTGGGCAGCGAGGGGTCGTCTCTCAGCTTGCTGAAATCAACCTGTTTCCAAAATCGGGACATGTCGTCGGCTTTCTCCAAGTACACCTTGCTGGACCACTTGGTGGGTTCGTTGGCCAGAGTGTAGACGGCAGCAGACTGATCCTCGGCCGGTTGGTTGCGAGGCCTCTCCGTCAAATGATCCGAAAGAAAAGTGCCCCACTTCTCCTCGTACTTCTTGTCGGCCATGACCGCCCACGCTTCCAAAAAGTCCAGCGACCACTGGCAATTCCTGATCAGGAAGGCTCCGGTGGTGACCCCCGACCACTGCTTCTTCCCGTAAACCAGATCCTTGATGCCGTGGATCACAAAATTGTGGTTCTTGTACCGGCGCAGGGGCACCTCGTAATTCATATTAGTGATGAGCGCATCGCTGTCAATCCACAAAAACCACTCGACGTCCGGATGCTCGAGCATGAGGGTCCTGAGGACGGGCAGCTTGGCCCACACGCGGTTCACGCCCTCGTCGATGTCGGCCATGTTGTAGAGGTGATTCCGAATGCCGTGCAGGCGGCAGTAGTCGACGCGATTCTTGAGAAACTTGAGGTAGTAGTGGTCGCCCATGGCATTGGAGCACGACGTGGGCTGCTGGCCAGACACCAGGAAGATCCCGGACTTTTTCGGAAGGCCTGTGACAGCGGAGTCCTCGGCGAAGTCCTGCCGTTGCTTGTCCCAGTCGGAAATCTTCGACCCGAGGCTGTATGGGTACTTCTCCAGGAAGCGCCGCGCATCCTTGCGGCCCGCGCGACTGGTGATGGGATCGTCCTTGAAGGTGATTGTGGCCACATTGGCCGCGGTCACCTGCACCGTCGGCTTATTCTCCGGTGGCGGATCCTGGACGCTGAGGCTGCCTCCCCCTCCCCCGTAAAGCACGAGAGGAAACCTGTAGCTCACTTCTCGAACAATGCCCCATATTACCAACACCGTCATGCATCCGCTCACGAGGTACAGGAACTTCATCTCCGGCGCCTTGCGCCGCCCGTCGTCTTCGAGCCGTGCGCTCGGCGCTACCGGATCGGCCACCCAAGCTTTATTGGCCTCCGCAGGAGCTTTGGACACCGGCACCTTGTGCTCCTTGGCCACAGGAGGCTTGTAGTCCGGTACGTCATAAGTCGAGGTGGAGGTGGTCCGTTTCATGGGTGCGACGTGAGTCCTCCCGTCGCTTTCGAGGCGATGTCACGCGCTCGAGCACCGCCTGCGCGTTGGTGCTCGGGGCCGGGCGAGAGCTCGCTTGTCAGAGAGCTGGCCGAGACGATGCCTGCAAAACTGGAGAATGCACGAAGAGTGTAAGTGTAAGCATCGAGTTCTCAGACAGCCCTGGGACACGAGGCATGGCATGGCGCAGTACACACGTGAACACGCCGTCTCGACTCCTGCCGTGCCGACGATTCCCGGAGTTTCACGCAACCCGATCGATACTGGCCTAAGACTCCAATTACATTAAGTAAGCATTGCTGAGCGCAGCACTAGAATCTCCTCCGTTGCTTGACGAACGACAGAATGCAACAACTCATTCTGACAATCCCGGAAGGGCGGCCGAAAAGCGGACCGACTCTAAAAATCCAAGCTTCCTGAGCGCGGCCGAATCGAGTCCTTCGATGATTCGCGTTTCCGTTTCGTCGACAGGATGCGTCGACTCCACATTCATCAATCGAAAATCACACAGCTCGACTCCTAGGACTTAGTTCAGTAAACCATCTCGACTCCGCACCCACCAATGGACATCGGCGACGAAAAAGCATAGAGGTGGAAGCCCGTGTTCACCTGTACAGACGGAACTCGAACTCATGAGCACCCCACCCAAGAACCACAAACCGAAGACTTCACTAGATACCTCCGCGTCCTCTACATGCCACACCGACGATCACCAACTACCCCGGAGGCAGGAAGCGACTTCGTCCGCAAGAAGACTGTCCTAGTACCCTACCCCACGAGGAATGATTCGGTATGATCTTCCTTTCCTCCTTCTATCTGCAAGGGTGAAGTAAGGAATGAGGTTCTACGCACCCTTGACAGAACTCCCGGCCTCCCAGATCCAAGAGCTGGTAAGGCAGTGGGAAAGAGGTGGATTGAGGCCGGGAGGGAGGGAGGACTGCGACGTCTCAACTCACACTCCCGGCAGACGTATCGCTTTCTATTTTGACTCGTGGGATGCGTAGTTTGAATGCAGCAGGCCAAGGGACAATCAAAGCTCGACAGTATTCGAAGGCACGACGAACGAAGATGAATGACACGACATTTACGGTGTCATGTGACTTACATTCATATACGCAGTAGTTTCAGGTGCGGCATGAGAATATCACACAAGAGTCATTGGCGAGAGCTTGAGAGACCTCAGCGCGAGGAGCCACCGTTCTATCTCTGAACGGAAGCTAACCGACGGACCGAAGGTTACTAGCTTTATAGGCTTAAGCTCTGCATTGCGATCAAGCGCTGACTACGGGGCTACTCTTAGATTTATGCTCCCGGACAAAGTTGCAGCAATTGTGGACCTGCCAGCACACCCCACGCACTGACATCAGCTGTTCAGATCAGGTGGACTGAGCATTATGTACCGCTATCTCGACTTAATATGGCCTCTGTATAGTATACAGGTCTTAACGCTCACAATTTGGAGGATGGGGACGGACATGTTCTCCACAAATTCCGCTTCACAGTTATTAGCTCCAAGACTCTGGTTCTCTTCTTTTATCTAATATGCTAAATCCTTCAACTCTAAATTAAGGTCCGGTGCCAACTTCCATAATCCGGGATCCCATAAGCAGCAGAACGACATGTGATGTCATCACATCACATGTCGAAACATCATCGATGCCTCGTAACCTTCGGGTGGTTCATGGAACTGCGTTGGCATCAGTGGGTTTCACAAACTGCACAACCGCGTAGTTGATCAATCCTTTCCTCACGGACTCCCTTTTCTTGGGGTTTTCGGGCTACAAGCGTCGCCGCGAGAAAGTGTTCCTTCAAGAAAAAGGTGAAAACTACGAAAAGAGTAACCTTCTCAAAGTCCGAAACCAGGATGAGAAGAGAAAGTGTTGGGACATTGAAATATGCTACGAGTAACCTGAAGTGAAACTGGATATTAGGTATTCCAAACTGCAAATTATAAGGGAAATGGCACGAACCTGAAATGGAGTAAATGGCGTGGATAGATTGAAGTGAGACCTACTACGGGGAACGGATGGCTGGCTGGACTTCGAGGTTTCCTGCGCGGTTGTGGATTGGCTACCGGGGCGTACACGGAGAGCTCGTATGTATGCAAGCATCAACGATTTTCTAGCAGTAGCTAAGGCATAGTACAGTACAGTGATTGCTTTGCTTGCCAGTATCACCTACCCCGACTCCGACCTCCACAGCTCATGAGTCCGCAACAGTACCAGTTAGTTCGACGATACAGCTCGTACGCTTACAGCTTGAGAGAAGATGAGGCATTAGAGAGGAGCTCTCTGGCATGGACCACCGTTGGGTGTTCCAGTTGTACCTTGAAACTTACACAGCCACACGGCGAGCTTTCCTTTTTGTCTACCGAATCGTCACCTGAAGCGCCGTACTCTTGATACTCTGCACCTTTCGCACTACCGCCACGGCTACCCTGCTCCATTTACGGTGCCAAGCCCTCGTTCATTTGCAATGGCATTATTTTAGAATTTAATACTCTTCCGAAAGTCGGAAATCGCTGCCATAGCCCGTCCTTTACTGATCTTTGCCATAACTCCGCTACGTCCAAATACACATGAATGGAAACAACACCAAAAGATTCATTTCTTTAAACCTCAGCCTCACATTTTCCTCCTTTCCTTCCATCCTTCTTTCGGTTTTCAGTCTCACGAGTCCCTCATCTTGCTAAGTTAATGGCAATAACTACCCTGTATCAGGCTGCATGGTTCCATCACTTCAAACTGAAAGCAAACGCTGTCTCCAAACTTGAAGCTACCATCAATGTACATAGCTTCATCCCTCTCTCTTTTGAAGACAATTCTTCGTTTGCCTGATCTCAAAGTAATCTCGAACTACCGACGTAACACTTTGTTTCCAACCAGAAATCCAGTTGACCCAAAGAGTAAACACATATTTCTCAAAGTAATATCGAACTACCGACGTAACACTTTGTTTCCAACCAGAAATCCAGTTGACCCAAAGAGTACACACATATTTCTTGTTATCTACTATAGAGTTGCCACAAAAAAAACTTTAAAACTCTTTGCTTTTCACTCGTTACTTTTCGCTCTGTGTTCTTCTCGGTTTCGGTCTTTATATTCTTCACGTTGTTAAATACATGCATACTTTTTTTTCCTCTCCTTATACATCCGGAAAATTTCTCCGTCAAGGTATTCAACATTTTATGCAAATTATTTTTTTACTTTTTCCGCTCATTTTAATAACTTATACTATACTTCTACACTCCAAGTGGAGATATATATAGATATATATATATATATGAAAATATTAATTTTGTTTACATGTATAGATAGATATATATGTCATATATATCTTCATGAATTTGTGATTACATATCACATTGTATCTTTGATGATATATTTCTATGATATACGAGGTGCAATGTCCATCCTGTCATAAATGAATGTTTTTCAAATTAGCCTATTAACTACAAAATATTAGAGAGTATGAAACTCTCCGCGGGTACTTTTATTATCATCATAACTTGACTTTCAATCTTCACAACTTTGGAAATCAGTAAAAATTCAATCCTTTTCCAATTTGTGTAGCTAAAATCCGTTTGACAATTTTTTGCAAAAAGCGGTGGCAGGGAGAAAACCGTCAACGATATGTGTACCAGTATTTCGAAATTTATCATTATTTATTCGTGTACATTACACATGTATACGCTAGTTATGGAACTGTTTGTAGCAGCGGTGCGTACTCCTCTGCACATTATGGGCCTACCTCCCCGGCAGGGAAATGTCACAGCGTAAGCACCGATCCTCGGCCCGTACCTCCGTATGCTACGTACCAGAAGAACCTTCAACTGATTTGCAGTCCTCCACTCACCATAATAGCCAATAAAGAGAGGGAGAGAACTGAACAAACAGCATTCACATCCACAAAAAGAGAGGAAACAAGTTGCGACAGTGAGAAAAGCCGAGAAGGTGAGAACCCATCTTACTCTGAAGTATGGAAACACACCGCCGAACCATGCCTCCATATACCCATCACAACACCAGACGGTGCTTGTCGCCCGATCCTATACCTCGACCTAGCCTCTACCACAGCTGCCACAGCCTCCTGCCTGCTACCGCCCTCACGGCAAAGAGCACCTTCCCCGGTGCAGTACAGATCGCCCTCTCAGTCAATCAGTGCCACCAGCCAGAAGAATCGCAATTGCCAATGCCATCTCGACACCTTCCGTCTTGCCTCCTCGACCTCTCTCTGTGTACGTCGATTGGGCTCTCGGGCCTCCTCCTCCATCTCCTTCCTTCCTCCTTCGTTATGGATACTGTTCTGTAGCCTGGAGCGCATCGACGGTGGCCTTTATTCAATTGACAGCGAGCGGGAGCGTGAGCGGTAGCGGTAGCGGTCCCAAGCTTTCGTTCGAGAGGACCGGCGCTCGTCTTAGTTTTGAATCCAGGCTGCCGCGGGGAGGGAGGCTGCTCACCCCCGCCGCGCCAGCGGGCCTGTTTCAAATGCCCGTGTGTCACCGGAGGGCGACATGTCCTGACCGGGAGATATTTATCCAGGCTACCGCAAAGTGCCTCTCCGCGGCGGGTTTCGGTTCCGTTACCCTGCACTTCCAGCGGGATTCCGGACCGCCGGAAACCTTGCGGTGGCAAGTTGGGAACGACGGTCGGATCGACGGTGGGGGGCTTAGCGTTTACGGACTTATTTGGCGCGCTCGGTGGCCAGCTACCGTAGCACGACGCGACAGCTTCCGTCCATTCGAGTCACGTCCAGCTCACCGGATCTAAGATTCGCCATCGAGCCTTTTGGGTGTGCTTTTCGCGTGTGCTCGTTGTGCCAAGTCAGCCGACCTCTATCGTGGCGTCCCTCGTGTACCAGGGGGCGGACGTCAGCTGACGATTCGTCCCGCCCATGTCCCGTTTGTATGCAAACTCGGAGTCGAGCCTCTCGCTCGGTTCTGGTGTGGGATCTGGGCCTTCACATGGCACAATAATTGTCGTCCCTCGTTTGAAGTTTTCGTAGTTTAAGCGTGATTGCGTCCCATTCTATCGTCATCCATGGACATGCATCTCGATTGTCATGAACTGTGGGGTCCTGCGGATCTAGCTTATTTTCTAAGCAGCGTAGTAAACATCTTACGGAGAAAGTGAAGATGCCGGAGGTTGTGTGCAACTTCCACTTAAACCAGTGAATGGATTTTGCATAGATCGCATATTTTATATCGAGAGTCTTACAAGTCATTCAAATTAGTTAAAGATCATATGATGACTCTTGATTCGGACTGTTGGAATCGTCCAGTCTGCAATACTGGAGAGAGAACGTAAACTCACAAGGGGAATCTTGCGAGTCATTCCAATTCCTGAGAATGCCATGCGAAATTTCCCGCTTCGTATTGGTGGATCGAGAGAGCAAGTGGAAAAAAACTTGTCACTTTCACTGTCGTTCATTTCCTGCAAATCTGACCTCATGTGTGGAGTATTCTTTGAATTGACGGACAATTTGGTGGCACTAGATTTTTGCATGAAAAGTTCGAATGGTTCTCTTCCCTACATTCCACAAATCACCTCCCTCCACTAACGAGAGGTGTAACCAACAATTATACAGTTGCTTTGTATAATAAATACGCAGTTCACATGTTTTGTCAACTATATAATCTTATATCTATGTTTAACAGTCACGAGGGGAAAATTTTTCAACACTGATGTAGATCAAGTCATAACGGAATGGCCCATGCATGCATCCATTGACCTAGACACGGTTAGGTGAATTTGTGATGACATGGACATTAAGTTCTCGGGTTTACCTTCGACTGCATCTTCTTAAGTATATGCACGTCACGTTGTTGGTCAGAGTGCTTTACTACATTACTATAGTAGACTCGGTAAACTAAAATCTCAAGACGGTGCTTGGCGGCCATACGTCGAAGAAAATGAATAGCAAGTGAAGGGATGATTAACTTGAACTCATGAGATG